TCTGTGTAGTTTTTTATACTTGCATATTTTTATTCTGTGTAGTTTTTATAGTCATATATTTATATTTTGTGTAGTTTTTAATACTTACATATTTTTATTCTGTGTAGTTTTTATACTTAAATTTTTATATTCTGTGTAGTTTTTTTATACTTCTATATTTATACCTGTATGTATTTTTTTATACTTGTATACTTGTATTTTGTATATTATTTATTATTATTCGTGTCCTCACGTTCCAGAATTTAATTGATATATTTTCTCCTTTTTGTTTGTAGATCCTTTAACCCGCAGTAATTTCATCAGCCACTATTTTTAAATTAAAAAGAAGGACAAAATGATGTCAAGACAAGCCTTCCTGTGCAGTTTGGGCTCTCTGTATTTATCCCTCCTCTTCATCTTCCTCCTCATGGATGTTTATGCCAGGCCTGCAAATAATTCTGTGCTCAAGGAGAAAGGGGCTGATGGCAAAGAGGAGAACGAGATCCTGCCCCCAGATCACCTGAACGGGGTCAAAATGGAGATGGACGGGCACCTGAACAAAGAATTCCATCAGGAGGTTTTCCTGGGAAAGGAGATGGAGGAATTTGAGGAGGATTCAGAGCCCAGAAGAAACAGGAAGAAGCTGATGGTCATTTTTGCAAAGTAAGTCGAGCAGGGGAAGAGTCAAAGTTGGGGTGGTTTCCTGTGATGTTGAAAAATTACAACGGTGAAAGGGGGGGAAAAACCTCAGCTTTTAAGTGCTGTGTTTGTGTTTTGAAGGTGTTAAAAACCCCCAGGAATTCAGCAATCCACAGGGCAGCTTAGTGAAATTAAGTGTTAACAAAGCATTTCTTCAGAATTTGGCAAAAGAAAATGAAACATGAGAATGAAAAGATTAAAGTTTTCTTTTAGAGCTTTTTAAAAAAGTTCATCTATTTCTTTACTTGGTGTAAAAATATTTAGTTTAAGACCTTTCCTAAAGCACTTTTTGTGCTGGGTCAGGTGTTTGGAGGTCAATTATTGTGCTGCAAATCAAACCCAGGGGGTGTTTTTAGACACAAGGTGGCACAATTGGCTTTATTTGCATTTTTGAATGAAGGATTAATTTCCTTAGAGCAGCTCAAATTACACTGGAGCCCTTAATGCTGCTGATTCCATGAGTTTTATTTTAATTTAGGGTGGAATTGTGTCTGTTATTCACTCACTTCACTGGTAGGATACATAAAAACATTAAGATTTCTTTGCTGTTTTACATTTATTGGAAACATTGTTTGTAATTTGGGAAGGGCAATTTCCTAACTCTTTAATTTCTGCCTGTTTGTTATGAAAGAGGTTTTTTAGGAAGCTTAAATAAATTGGATTTCAGATCAATTCCATTCAGATCCTTAAAATTACATTCCCTCAGATGATCAGCTTAAAAATGTAGGGAAGGATTGGGGGGGCTCTGATTGCTTTCCAGACATCCTCCTAAAGCCTAAAAGAGAAATTCTGTGAAAATCCAAAGTCCTTGGGCTTCCAAATGTTCTGGAATTGCTGTGTTGGAAGGCACAAAGCCAACACACACAGTGTGCTTTTAATCAGTGAAAGCTGAGATTCCTCAGGGGATAAAACAGGATAAAATAATCAGTTCAAAGCATAAATTATTATCTAACAAGATTAATGAAAATAAAGTTGGGACATGAAAGAATTGCTCCCCAAACTGTGATTTTTCCAGGCAAGTTCCTTGTGACTGAAACAGTTGGTAATTCTGTGTTTCATTTTCTGGTGTCACTCCCTGAAGTTGTTTTTTGGATGAAACACAAACCAGCTCTGAAGTGATTTATGGGCTCAAAAAAAAAAAAAAATTGGCATTTTTGGGGGCTCTGGGTGAGACCTGAAAGTGGTTTATTGATAATGGACCACAAAAATCTGATTTTTTTTCATGGCTTGTGGTTGAGAAACTGGGCTGAAAGTGGTTTATTTTTATTTTATCCCTATATAATAGAACCCCTACTGTAGGAAAAAGTCAGTTATCCTACAAAGTGCCCACTTGTTTCTTACTCAGAGGTGCCACCTGTGACCTAAATGAGCAATAAATGGGATGTTTGTTCCCTCCCTCGGTGGTCAGGGGGTGATTTAGGTGGAAAGTACAGCTTGGAAGTAGAAAAAAAAGTATCAAAGCTTGATAGCTTTGATCTCAGGAACCCAAATGTTAAATGTTCAGGGGGGGGAAATGCTCTGGTTTAGTCTCATTTTTATTGTACCTGTTCCACCTCAAACCTGGTGGGTGCAAAATCCCCATCTTATTGCTCTTGTCACCAACACTCCTATTTAAATATAGCCCTGAAATGATATTTAAAGCCCTCTCCTGACAGTTTTATTGTGTTTTATAAGGCTGGGGTTGTTCTTTGGCTCAAGCTTTTTAACATTTGGTTGACATTTAAAGGCAAATCACATATTTAAGAACTTGAGTTTCAATGATAACACTTCAGTGATGGAGAGATAACAAAGCAAGAGTCGAGCTGGGGGGTTTTTTATTATGTTTGGGGTTTGTTTTTTCAATTGAACCAGAGTGGTTTTGGTGTGCCTTAAATAGATTCTTGCCTCTTAAATGTTAGTGGTGGCTTTTCAGTTGTATCTATTTTGAATAAATACTTAAAGGTGTGCTCAAAAAAAACCCCTTCAAAGTGGCAAATTGGCAAATTAGTGGGTTTGTATTTATTCTTCATCAGTAGTTTTTATATTCTGAATGAAATCAGAATCAATGGAATTGGAAATGGTGGCACATTAGGGAAAACAGGATTGTCAGCTGGATTTTTCCTGATGATTTTAGTCAGAAAAAAAGCACATTCTTGGACAAAGCAGAGCCAGACAACTTGGAAACCTCGTGGAGAATAAATGTATGTGCAGAACCTTTAAATGTGTTCAGAATTAAAAACTCTCAGCTGTAACATGTTCCCAGAGTTGGAGGTGTAACAGAGGAACCTTGGTTTAATAGGGTTAATTCCACTTAAAAGTACTATGAAATAGTTTAAAGGACAAGTTTATTCACGTTGTAGTTTCATTGTTTGGGATCTGGGCAGACACAGGGAGGCAGCTCAGCAATAAACCTCAGAGAGCTTGGAATATTAAAGGGATAAAGGGCTTGGAAAGGCAAATGGGGAGGGAATTCTTGGCTGAGAGAACTTTGGAGGAGAAGTGTTTGCAATTAGTGAAAGCCTGGAGCTGCTGGCAGTTGTCACCAAAGGAAATGAGCCAATATTCCATTTGTGATGAGCTGTGGTTTCCTCCCTGTGAAAAGTTTCCTCAGAAACATAAATGTGAGTTCACTTGAGCAGAATGTGAGTTCACTTGAACAAAATATGAGTTCATTTACGGGGAAGTGAAGGGTGGCTGAATGTGTTTCACTGAGGGGTAAGTAAATGTTGCACTTCCTTTAATTAGGCAATAAATTGCTCACTTCTTGCTTGTTACTCTGGAGTTCCAACAATGTGCAGCTCCTCAGAGAGGGTTGTAAATGTTCTCAGCCTGCTGAATAAAGCAATTAATTTAGAATCTAAAAATAGGCTTCACCTTTCCCTCCTCAATCCTTAAATCTTGGACAAAGTCGAGCCGGACAACTTGGAAAAGCTCGTGGAGAACAGGTGGATGTGCAGGACCTTTAAATGTGTTCAGAGTGAAAAACTCTCAGCTGTAACATGTTCCCAGAGTTGGAGGTGTAACAGAGGCTTTGCCCCTTCCTCCTCCAGGGTGGATGTAAATAATGATAAAAAGATTGGAGCCAAGGAGATGCAGCGCTGGATCATGGAAAAGACGGATGAACATTTCCAGGAGGCTGTGGAAGAGAACAAAATGCACTTCAGAGCTGTGGACCCCGATGGGGACGGTAAGAGTGAGAGATTCCTGCATCTCCTGGTGTCCAGGGCTGCTCAGAGGTGCTGTGCTAACATCCCAAATCCCTTTGGGCTGCCCACAATCCCAAGTTTTTCCATTCCTACAACGAGGAAGGGGCTGTGCCCCAGCCTGTGGTTCTGAGCTCGCTGCTCTGTCGTGTCACTTGTGGTCACAGGGCACTGGAACAAGTGGCTCTGTGGGGATGGGGTGACAACAGTGACATCATTGATTGTTTCCACAGAGCCCAGACAAAAAAGAAAAGTGAATCAGGTGCTAGTTTTCATCTTGTGCCATTCATAAATCTCAGTCTGCTGCTTGGGCTGGACCAAAAGGTTTGGAACGAGTTGGTTTTTTAGTCAAAAGTTCATCATTTTGAACCCTGTTGTGTCATGCCTGACATCTCTCTCCTCCTTACAGGCCACGTGTCCTGGGATGAATACAAAATTAAATTCCTGGCAAGTAAAGGCTTTAATGAAAAAGAAATTGCTGAGAAGATCAAAAACAACGAAGAGCTGAAAATAGATGAAGAAAGTAAGTGCAGACTGGGGTGTGTTGGTTTTTCTGTTCTGTTCCTGAAACCTGAGTGTCAAAACTGTTCCTAATAGGAGATGAATGCTTTGGTTGTTCTGCTTGTACACAAATATAGGATGTGGGAGTCATAAAACAGAAATCCTACATTCTTTCCAGCTGGAACGTGCCATAAAAATGGCAAATTTTAGCAGGAATCTCCCTGCTCCCCGACTCAAGAAGGGTTTAAATTTACCATTAATTAAAACACGAAGCTTTTGCCTTTCCCTGCAGGAATTAGTCATTGAAAATCGGGTTGATGTGACACTTTCCACTGATCAAAAAAAAAAAAGCAACTGAGATGCAAATGGGAGCTTGGAGTTTTCTGGCAGGGAAAACACCTGGGCAGGGTGGTTGGGGTGAATTTACAGGAGTGCTCATCAGATAACACATCTGCTGAGTCAGCAAGTGTCTGCAGCAGCACTTCTCCACCTGTGCTACCCAGCCTTATTTGGAAAAATCAAATTACTTATCTGCAGCTTCCTGGGCTGAGAGGCAAAGCTGAGGCTTGGGCTCTAAAGCAGCATAAAAATGCTTTTTTTGGGGGGGTCTGTTTAATAAAAACCACAGGGATGTTCAGAGCTTAAGGCCTGTTCTGAGCCTTGGGCAGGAGCACGGGGCAGTTTGGCTGCCAGGCCAAAATTAGGGGCACCACTTGAATTAATTTCTGCAGATAAGAACAATTTTACCTGGTGCTTGACAGTTTTAATTTCATTTAAGACTAAGGCAAAGGGAGTTGAATTAGGACTTCTCCCACTTGGGGTTGACTGCCTTGGAAAACCATAAATTATTCTGAGTTAACTGTGTCCTTGATATAACTAAAACTTGCCAGTGACAAACTTGCCCAAGATTATTAAATATCTTCATATTAAGACTGAAGGATTTCTTTACTCTTCACAGGAATATTCACTGAAAACTTCACTCGAAATTCCAGCTCTCAGCTCAACAAATGGAGATGTTGGGGTGGTTTTTCCTCTTGTAACTCAGCAACCAAAAGCCTTCAGGAGTTATTGAAGCCAGTTTGTTAAATTAAATTAAAAAATGATAACCTGAAGGCTTTCAGGAGGTTTTTAAAACCTTTTAAAGTTTTGAACTCATAAAGTTTAAATTGATGGAGAGTTCAGGAGTAATTTAAGACAATTAAATGAAATTTAAAAAATTATTAAATGAAATTTAAAAATTATTAAATGAAATTTAAAAAATTATTAAATGAAATTTTAAAAATTATTTACTTTATTAAATAAAAATATTTATTAAGTAAAAATATTTATTAAATAAAAATATTAAGTAAAAATATTTATTAAATAAAAATATTTATTAAATATAAATATGTACTAAATAAAATATTTATTGAATAAAAACATTTACTGAATAAAAATATTTATTGAATAAAAACATTTATTGACTAAAAACATTTATTAAATAAAAACATTTATTGACTAAAAATATTTATTAAATAAAAACATTTATTGACTAAAAATATTTATTAAATAAAAACATTTATTGACTAAAAACATTTATTAAATAAAAACATTTATTAAATAAAAACATTTATTGACTAAAAACATTTATTAAATAAAATTATTTATTGACTAAAAATATTTATTAAATAAAAACATTTATTAAATAAAAACATTTATTAAATAAAAACATTTATTGACTAAAAACATTTATTGAATAAAAACATTTATTGAATAAAAACATTTATTGACTAAAAATATTTATTAAAAACATTTATTGACTAAAAATATTTATTAAATAAAAATATTTATTAAATAAAAATATTTATTAAATAAAAACATTTATGAAATAAAAATATTTATGAAATAAAAATATTAAAAATATCTGAGTGATAAATAACACTCAGAGTGTTTGAAAACTTCCTGAAAGCAAATACTTCAGACTTGTGTTTCAGTGTATTTGCAGGTAGCAGGGAGTGCTCCAGACAGAGTTTTTTCCAGTGTGTCATTTAGAAAATGCCTACATGAGACAAAGAATACTCTGGGCAGGTATCTCTTTTCCTGTTCAGGCCCAAATTCACCCCGTGTGGGTTTGATTTCAACTCAGATGTGTGGTTTTAGCAGAAACTCGGGGGGTAAATTCTGATTCTCAGTCAGATTAGGAAAAAACTTCACTGCAGTGGTTGTGTGAGAGATGAAAGAAGTGGGATTGTGAAATGAAAAATGAAAGGAGAGAGAAGTAAAAGGATTTTTTTGCTGCTGATTTATCTGTTGATTCACAGGAACTTCAACTTGCATTTGCTCTTTGCAGCAAAAATATTTCCTTTGCATGAAATTACTGAGGCACGTGGAGGGTTTCGTGGAGCATCCACTGAGTGTCAGGGCAAGGTGTATTTTAAATTCATTGACTGTGACAGTGGCTGAAATCTGATTCAATTTGCAGCCCAGGAGGTTTTAGACAACCTGAAGGATCGGTGGTACCAGGCTGACAACCCCCCTCCTGACCTGCTGCTGAACGAGGAGGAATTCCTGTCCTTCCTGCATCCAGAGCACAGCAGGGGGATGCTCAAGTTCATGGTGAAAGAAATCATCCGGGATCTGGGTATGGAATTTTCCAGGGTCTTCCTGGGAGCTGCTTCCCTGCACACCACTTAATTTCCCTGTAAATTAACTTGTATTTTGTTTCAAGTTAACTCACATTCTTAACACAAATTTATGTTTCTGAGGAAATTTGTCACAGGGAGGAAACCACAGCTCGTCCCAAATGGAATATTGGGTGGTTACTGCAGTGCCAGGGGTCAGGCTGCAATTCTGGCACATCTGGGTTGCTCATCTTCTGATGTGATGAGTTAAAAAAAATAAGCTGTTAACACAAATCCTGGAGTTGTCTCAAGGCTAAGTTGAGTTTCTGGGTGTTAAAAACCAGAACATTAGAAAGATGCTCTGAGTGGAAACATTAAAGATACTCTGAGTGGAAACATTAAAAATACTCTGAGTGGAAACATTAAAAATACTCTTGAGTGGAAACATCAAAGATGCTCTGAGTAGGAACATTAAAGATGCTCTGAGTGGAAACATTTAAAGATGCTCTGAGTGGAAACATTAAAGATGCTCTGAGTGGAACATTAAAGATGCTCTGAGTGGAACATTAAAGATGCTCTGAGTAGGAACATTAAAAATACTCTAAATAGAAACATTAAAGGTACTCTGGAAACATTTAAAGATACTCTGAGTGGAAACATTTAAAGATACTCTGAGTGGAAACATTTAAAGATACTCTGAGTGGAAACATTAAAAATACTCTAAATAGAAACATTAAAGATGCTCTGAGTGGAAACATTAAAGATGCTCTGAGTGGAAACATTAAAGATACTCTGGGTAGGAACATTAAAGGTACTCTGAGTAGGAACATTAAAGATACTCTGAGTGGAACATTAAAGGTACTCTGAGTACTTCATACAACACAAATCAACTTCTACTCCTTCAGCTTCTGCTTCTTCACTACTCCACACAAAGCTCTGCTGCTGCAGGGTCATTGCAGCAATAGGAGAAGAGGTTTGCTGAGTGTTAAATATTATAAAACACATTGATATAAAATGTTAAATATTATAAAACACATTATATAAAATGTTAAATATTATAAAACACATTGATATGAAGGTTTCCTGAGGAGGGCACTGGCTGCTCTGCACTTCCCTGGTCCAGCAGCCCTGTCACAGTCGTGACTTCCACTCAGAAAAGTGGAAATAAATGGTTGAGTTTTCCAAGCAAGTTGCATTTTTTAATTCAGAATTGTTGGCACATGAGTGGAGTGAGGACTGCTCAAAGCAGGCAGCCTGTCCCACTGAGATTTCTCATTTTTAATGGGCATTAAGGAAATACTTCTCAGCTCTTTGGTGGTTCTTTTGCAGATCAGGATGGAGATAAGAAGCTCACCCTCTCCGAGTTCATCTCCTTACCTGTCGGCACCGTGGAGAACCAGCAGGCTCAGGACATTGATGATGACTGGGTGAAAGACAGGAGGAAGGAGTTTGAGGAGGTCATTGATGCCAACCACGATGGCATTGTCACCATGGAAGAGCTGGAGGTGAGTTTCCTAATTATTTAAACCCCAACACTTTTAAAAAACAGCTGGAGAGAACACAAAATCCCCAAATATTCCAATTAACAGCACAACCCCGAGGTTTATTGTGCTCTGTGGGGCTTGCAGGTGCTGTTGTGATTTTAGTTAAAGAGGAGAGGGGAAGTTTTCTTAACCAAACTGTTATTCAGGGCTTTGCTTTGAGGGGTTTTTTTTTTGTCACACACAAAACAACAAAAGCAGCCCTGGATTTCCTCAGGTGAGCTGGGCTAAGAGGCACTGACTCAGACTTTCAGTTGCAAAAGGAGTAACTGCCAACCTAGAGATTACTT